AGAGCCTCCTTCAGATCGTGGACAACCCCGAGTTCCAGCTGCAGCTCCACGGTTTCGGGAGCCCCGCTCCATCCGGCACAGACCAGACCGCCCCATCCAGCTCCCCCATATCCGAGGAGCCTCTGGAGTCCAGCACAGCCGGGAGCAGCGGGGACCCCCACCTGGAGCTCGTGGCCGGGACCAACTTCTTCCACCTCCCTCTCACCCCAGGGTCAACCCCTGATGTCCGCCTGGACCTGGGCAACTGCTATGAGGTGCTGACCTTGGCCAAGAGGCAGAACCTGGAGGCGCTGAAGGAGGCCGCCTACAAGGTGATGAGCGACAACTACCTCCAGGTCCTGCGCAGCCCGGACATCTACGGGCGCCTGAGCGGGGCCGAGCGGGAGCTGGTCCTCCAGAGGCGGCTCAGGGGCCGCAAGCACCTGGTGGTGGCCGACGTGTGCCCCCAGGAAGACGCCGGCCGCCTCTGTTGCTATGACGATGAGCAGGACGCCTGGCACCTGCTGGCCCCGCTGCCCCCGGAGGCTGTGTCCCGCGGCTGTGCCATCTGCAGTCTCTTCAATTATGTGTTCGTGGTGTCCGGGTGCCAGGGCTCCGGGTGCCGGCCCTCCAGCCGGGTCTTCTGCTACAACCCTCTGACGGGCATCTGGAGCGAGGTGTGCCCGCTGAACCAAGCCCGGCCGCACTGCCGGCTGGTGGCCCTGGACGGCTTCCTGTACGCCATCGGGGGCGAGTGCCTGAACACAGTGGAGCGCTACGACCCTCGCATGGACCGCTGGGCCTTCGCCCCTCCCCTCCCCAATGACACCTTCGCCCTGGCGCACACGGCCACGGCGTGCGCCGGGGACATCTTCGTCACGGGCGGCACGCTGCGCTACCTGCTGCTCCGCTTCTCGGCCCCGGAGCAGCGCTGGCAGGTCGGGCCCACGGGGGGCGGCAAGGACCGCACGGCCGAGATGGTGGCGGTCGATGGCTTCCTCTACCGCTTCGACCTCAACCGCAGCCTGGGCATCAGCGTGTACCGCTGCAGCGCCAGTGCCCGTCTCTGGTACGAGTGCGCCACGTACCGGATGCCCTACCCGGACGCCTTCCAGTGCGCCGTGGTGGGCAGCCACGTCTACTGCGTGGGGCGCCGGCGCACGCTCCTCTTCCTGGCTGACAACATCTCGCCCAGGTTTGTGCCCAAGGAGCTGCGCAGCTTCCCCTCCCCGCAGGGCACCCTCCTGCCCACCGTCCTGACCTTGCCCAGCCTCCAGGTGCCTCAGACCAGGGTCTAGCTGCCCCTCTGCTGGGCTCCTCCTGCCAAGCTGGAGGCAGAGAGCACCCCCTGCCCACCGCTCCATGGGCCGTTTCTGGGAGGCCAGGCGGCCGGGAGCTTGGCTGCAGGAGGTGAAGTGCAGTCCTACCTCCCTCAGTGGCTGGGCTCCCAGATGCTTTGGTGCCAGCGGGCTGCAGGGGGCGAGGGTGAGATAGAGCTAGGGCCTGGTGCTCCAGGGCCTAGGGCAGCCACATCTCCGGGATGGCTTCCAGTCTGAATTGGGGGGATAGAAGTGGGGGGCTCCAGGACCCTAGCAAACTTTAGGGGCACAGCTTTATCACAACCACGATTCAGGTGCCAGTTGACCCCCAGTGACCCCTCAAGCTGACCCCGGCCCTCGTTACCTAGAGCAGGTGTGCTCCTCTCTCTGGAGCTGGGCCACCGAGGTAGGAGGAGAGGGCTCAGGGGGCCCGCAACGACCACCTGGGGGCATGATGGTCAGGTTCAGCTACAGGAGAGGCCAGGACAGTTCCTGTGCTGGAGGCGCCTGCCCAACAGGAGCTCACATTGTAGTGGAGGAGAATGGGCAATTCTGAAAAAGATACATAAGTAAATAGAAGCCATGATGGATATGAGCCACCGAGACAGCTAAGCAGGCGAGTGGGATAGTGTGAGCAGCCTTCCTGATCAGATACACTGAGCAGAGACCTGAGTGCAAATCCGGGGGCCTGCAAAGACCAGGTGGCTCAGGGCCCGGGAAGCCTGGCCTCGCACCTGGAGCCTTTGTCACATGGGCGGGAGAGGCCGGTCCGCCTCCTAGGAGCTCCATCTCGGGGTGAATGGGGTGAACAGGGCCGGAGCCCAGCTATTCTGCTGCAGCCCCTCACCTAACAGAGAGAATCCTGTCCCGCTGAGGTGCCTTGCATGGGTAGAAACTGCTTTCCCAGGAGAGAAGCCGTGTTCGCACATTCAGAGAGGAGAGCCCAAATAATCACCAGGATATCCCGGCCACCGCGGCTGGGTGTGTGGCTGGGGGTCAGGCGGCCCACGTGACACCATGGGCTCAGGGTCAAGGGTTTCCACCTGACCTTGGTGAGTAGCGGGTCTGCCCACCTGCGGCCCTCAGCCTCAGAGTGGCCTGTTTGTCAAAGAAAGCTTGTGCCTGGGCCATCTGCTTTCCCAATAAGAGTTCTTTCTTCTTCAGGGAAAATAAAAAAAGAGAATCTTAAGTTTGGGTTGCTTTTTACATTAGGCCAACCGTGCCGTTATAGAAAAATTGGAAAAGAGAGAAAAGTATGAACAAATTTCCCCAATGAACCCCTGCTGCGACACGGGTCTCTCCGGCCTGTCCCTTCTGCGTGCGATTTCGGTCGGGCTTGATTCTGGCGCAGGTGTGATTATGCTGAATTTACAATTCGGTCCTGCTTCCTTTTGGCACCTCACTTTCGAAAATAAGCATTTTCCCGTGTTATTACAAACGCTCGGTAAACATCATTTCCATCGTTGCACAATATTCCACCCACTGGCTGCAGCACGGTTTATTTAAGATCCCTCCCCAGCCCGCCTCCCCCGTTGGGCTTGTAGATTTTTTTTTCTGTTGGTTTCTTTTTCCATCATAAATAAAACGTCCCTTGTTTTCCTGTTCCTCTCTGTCTGGGCCTTCATCAGTATTTACAAGAGAAAGCCCAGCCTAGGTCGTGTCCAGAATAGCAGAGTTGTTAAAGCAGGGCTGGGGCCTGGGCCCCACTTGGACTGCAGGGTGCAGGACTGCCCTTTGCAATGCCTAGCCGGAAAGGAGACTGTCTGGAGGGGCCATCCCAGGTGCCCCACCCTGAGTTGTCCCTGGAGCCATAAGAGGAAGCCCCTGATCTGCACATGCAGGCGCTGGACGAGATGCTTCCTGCATATCATCGCACTGACCCTCACAACAATCCCATTGTACAGGTGAGAAAACTGTGGCCCAGAGGGTTCAAAAGAACTTGCCTTCATGGCAAAGTTCAAAGACCCTCAGCTGCCTTAAAAGCACACTGGAAGCGGGCCTACTCCCAACATGGTGTCTTTCCATTCCCCTTGCAGGGGGCACTGGAGCCCAGCTGGCATCAGCTGGCATCTGGGTTGTCCCCAGTCCCTTCTCCACCCATGCCAATCAATCACGCTCTATCCTTGAACTTGGAACTTAAATAGCCCTTCTTAAACACTGACCCTCATTACCTACACCTGTAGAATGGGTTCGCCACTGCCAGCCATCGTGGATGTTAAAACTAAGAGAATGTGTGTAAAGCACCAGCCCAGGGACTGCTCCGAAGTGGGTCTAGGTGTCTTCCGCAGGCGGCTGCCCGAGCCAGCTCCGCGAGGCCAGGGTCTGACATTTAAGCTGCAGGGGCCCCAATTGGTCTGACGAGGTCTAGGGTGTGCTCGAGTTACCGATATTTTAGATCCTCTAGGGCAGTGGTTCTCAACCTTCCTAATGCCACGACCCTTTAATACAGTTCCTCGTGTTGTGGTGACCCCCAATTTCATTGTTACAAATTGAGCCTCATGGAAGCATAGTGATTAATCACAAAAACAATATGTAATTACATATGTGTTTTCCGATGGTCTTAGGCGACCCCTGTGAAAGGGTCATTCGACCCCCAAATGGGGTCGAGACCCACAGGTTGAGAACCGCTGCTCTAGGTTTTGAGATCCCGCGGCTCTGCGCCCCTTGTGGGGGTGGGGGGTGAGGGTGAAGAACGGACTGGCTGCTGGTTTGAGCTTCCCAGGCTGTCTGACCACCGAGGAGCTGCCCACGGAGCTGCTCAGAGGCCCGGTGCCCAAACCTTGGGAAGGTGCAGGGTGGAGGGGCTCCTGCCCTTACAGACGGAGGAAGAGCCACTCAGAGCCACTGGCAGATACTTGGATATTTAGAGCCCTGACAGGTGCCCAGCACTTTCTGCCTTTGCCTCCTTCCCTGGAAGGGCCCTGTGGCCCCAGGGAGTCCAGGAGTCCTTGAGGCTTTGCTGGGAGCAGCCCCCTAGGCATCAGGGGGCCACCACAGGGGAAGGGGGGGGCATGAAATACAAGGGAAGGAGGTGCCTCCAGGCGGGAGATGTGGGGAAGGCAGGGGAAGAAAGGACAGCCCCGGGGAGTTCCTGCAAACAGCTCCCAGCCTCCGGGGTTTTGAAAAGTGGGATGTGGGTCCAAATAAAACAAAAAGGTAAGAACAATCAAGTCTGGGTTGCCTTTGTGTGTGTGTTGGGGAGTGGGGGGAGGAGATGGAGACATGAATCTTAGACCAATAATAGGAACTCCTGCGGGCCTGCACCGGCTCTGCAAATACCTCGTCTCCATCCTCACCTCCCTCGCCTCCATCCCCACTGTGTCTGCCCTGAGACCCGGGGATCACCCTCCCCATACAGGGGAGGGGACGAAGAGGAGACACCCACAACCATTCAAAATCACTGTTTCATACCTACGGTTACATCTACCGTCTTATTATTAAAGACTGGAACGGAGAAATGTCATCGTTGTCAATACATGTGTTGAGCACTCCCAGTGCTAACCGGAGCTCTACTTATGTGATCACATAGTCAATGGCAACACCGGCCAAATTCTCTCCTGTCCATCCATTTCCCCAGCCCTTGCTTTCCAGAGCTGCCACTGTCCCCAGCCTGCTGGCCTCCTGGCAGAGGGGAGACATGTGGCCCAAACGCTTGTCAAATTACCCAACCCTTGTCTTCACGCAGAATTTCAAACCTGTCATCATCCCATTTCACAGATGAAATGACTAAGGCTTGGTGACAGCTCACAGCTGCGATGTCAATTCTCATCCTTGGTGATGTGGCCTCAGCTCCTCCCAGCCGACACCCCCACTCCTGAATAGGGCGCCCCACACTGCGCCCCTCCCTTCTCACTCCGCAGCCTCTGCCTGTAGGTCTGCTGTCTCCAGTGAGTCCCCGTGGGCACCAGGGATGTCTTCTCTGCCTGTGTCCCAGATGCCAGCCAGGGCGGCCCCACGCAGGGCTCAGAGGAAGCCTCCGCTGAGCTGTGTCCTGTTAGGAAGGTCCCGTGGTTGGGCTGCGTTCCTGTGTCCAAGAAGGACCGTTTTATACCTTCTGCCCTTCCTCCAACATGCCCTCCCCACACGGCACACAATATAGGGGCACAGAGCCCCTCGGTTCTCACAGTGCCGAGCTCAATAGCTGTGAGGAAGCTGTCAGCACCTGCACGCTAACCAAGAGCCCTGCCTGCTGCCCACGCGAGGGGCAGGCTGGCACAGCCTGGGGAGGGTACGGCCCCGGAGGAGCCCGGCCAGCAGATGTACAAATCCCCCAGCTCCCTCCACCCTGGGTGGGTAACTCGGCTCTGCACTGGCTCCTGGATAACAACATCCCTTTAACAGCGTCCCTGCAGGCCCCCGTCCACACTCCCCCACACCCCCCGCCTTTGGGAGGTGCCCCCTAAGACTCTCTAGGACTTCACACCAGGGACAGCACTGCCCTGGCACCCACGACGCCCCTGTTTCCTGGGCGGCCCTGGCCTCCCCGCGGTGGAGGAAGAGCGCGTTCCCAGGATTGCTGATAAAGAGAAGCCTCGGCTCCACTTTCGAAGGTTAAAACACGACACAAACACGATGCATCTTTATTTGTCATGAGTGTCAAGGCGCGGCGGTGTCTTTGTGTTCCGGGAAACAGTTCATTTTACCCTCTGAAGATTTGTGATTGTTTCTCCTGCGAGCGTGTTCTGACTCTCGCATTCAGCAATCTGTACCTGGTGGGAAATATGAGGGTGAGCCTCACCTGGCCTCAATTTGAATCATAATAAATCCTGAGTAAACTCTTTAAAAAAAGAAGAAAAGAAAAGAAAACCTCTCATTACAGAAGGCTTTCCCATCTGATCTGGAGGCATCGACACCTTGGGTTGTAACTGGGACATTGAAACCCACACCTGGTAGCTTTCAGCTACCCAGTTTCAGGGGGGGGGTATGGGAGGGTGGCAATTGGGGAAATATCAACTTCAAGAAAACTCCGGGAAAGGATGTCTTCCATACAAATTGTCTTTTCTCTTTGAAACGTATTTTTATTGTGGCAAAATACACATAACACAAAATTTACCATCGTCACCTCTTTAAAGGGCACAGTTCCGTGGTATGGAGTACACTCGCCATGCTGGGTGTGTTTTATCTGATTACAAAGGACATAAACATTTATTGTCAAATATACAATTGGAAAAATACAGAGAAGCCCAGAGAAGACAGGAGAAATCACCCCATTCGGAAACAATGGGTTATTTGTTTTGATGTCTTTATTTCCAATCTCTTATTTACTCTCCATGATTTTTTTAAATAAAAAATGGGTTCATACTCTGAACTGGCTATGTAACCGATCTTTCCTTCTAGCAAGAATATGATGATACTTTCAAGTTTAAAAACATCCCTGGGTTTATTTTTATTGTGGTAAAACATGCACCACGTAAAACTTACTGTTTTAACTATTTTTTAAAATATATTTTTATTGATTTCAGAGAGAAGGGAGAGGAAGAGAGAGATAGAAACATCAATGATGAGAGAGAATCCTTGATCAGCTGCCCCCTACACGCCCCCTACTGATATCAAGCCCGCAACCCGGGCACGTGCTCTGACGGGGAATCGAACCGTGACCTCCTGGTTCATAGGCTAACGTTCAACCACTGAGCCACACTGGCCGGGCTGCTTTAACTATTTTAAAGTGTGTGGCTCAGTGGCAGTAAGTGTGTTCATTATTGTACAACCATCACCACCATCCATCTCCCAAACTTGCTCCCCGTCCCAAACAGAAACCCATGCCCAATACACACTAACTCCCCACGCCCTCGGCAAGCCCCCACCAGCCCCTGGTGAGTAAAAGTTTTCTTTAACTTTGGCAAACATCCTTTAGGAGTAGACGGAAGTGCTCTGCTCCGTCAGCACAGATAATTGGGAATGTGCCTTAAGCAGAAAGACACACTGGTCTGCATTCATTTCGGAAACATCCGCAAACAATGCAGAACCCAGCTCAATGGGATGCTTTGGGGCAAGAGAATCAATAGCTTCTTTCTCAAAGACGCTGCCATTCCCTCCTCATCGCCACGGGGAAAGACAAAGGGAAAGAACGCGCTCTCTGTTCTCCGGGAGCCTCCTCCATCATCACGCCAAACTAATTACTTCTGGTGCTTTAACAGAAATACAGTTTGGAAAAGGCAGAGGTATAAAGCATGTTAATGACTGTGTTGTATTGTGGGTCCTAATTATGAAATTACGAGCACTTGCAGCAATGTGGAAGCGAGTTCCTGCGATGCCACCGTAATAACCTCTGCGGGGGTGTGCACGCACCCAGGGCAGGGCCGGATGGAAGGAGCCTCCAGGTGCAATGCAGTCCCCAGGCATTGAGCGGACGGAGCAGGGAGGGTTGAAAGACCGGGCTTGGCCGGTGAAAGGACAGGTTCCCCTTCCTGTAGGCAGGGAGGTCCGGCAAGGCTAGCAGGCCAGCACAATGAGACAGACCCGTGTTCCACCCTTCCTTCATTCATGTTTATAAACTTCTGTTCCAGGGCTGTGCTTGTGGACGGGTTGGGCACATGCCCCTGGGGGAGCCAGGCCTTCACAGGGGAACAGCTACCTAAAACGCTGGCAGATCAGCATAAACTC